GAAACACATGCATGATGCAAATTCCAAAACATGTAAACACTAAAAAAAAAAACTAATTTACAAACTACAAACAAAAAATGCTGCAATCACTAAAATGGAAGCAAAAACTTAGAATCAACAAAACTAATTCCTACCAAAAATGCTATAATCACCAACATGCCGGAAGCATTAGGTCTAATCAACAAGTTATTTTTGTGTTTTTATTCAAATCGAGAGAAAAACTGATCTGAAATGGGAGAAAATAATTTTAAAAACTACACTGCATGAAAAGTGAGATTTTCGTCCCCGTAAACCCCCGTAAACTCCCGCAGATCTCCCTGATTTTCGTCAGTTTCCGACAATTTGCAACCCGTGCTTGTCCGCGTTTGTCGTGCCACAAATTGTCGGAAACGGACTCTGACGTATGTGGAGAGCGATCAGCTATACTAATGGCCCTAATTAGCATATGAATGCAGTAAACCCGCGCGGCTGGCCAGGTCTGGCTTGAATAACCTACTCTGTATTGGCTGAAACCACTATTCTCAAACAAGTAAAATCGCTCGTGATTGGCAGCAAAACCAAACGTGGCCACGCCAGGCTTTAATTTTCTTACTGAGTATTGGACGGAACCACTTCTTTTTAAACAAGTAAAGTCGCTCGTGATTGGTTGGCATATATATATATTTACATATAAATTTACATATATATATTTATTCATATATATATATATTTATTCATTCATATGGTGTGTATTTATGTTATCCTACACTACTACACAATTATTATGCTACCATCAAGGACATGAATGAATTTATACAGGAAATGAACATTTGCCAGGAAGCTGTTTATGCAAAGAAAGAGCTTTATTAAAACACACACACACACACACACAACTATATACAACGCGTATCCAAACACATGCGTTTCTAAAAATTAAAAGTCTGTGAACGGTCCGTTTGCTTCCTCGGGGTTGGAGGTAACTGGCAGCATTCCCTCCGAGGCAGGTCCGATGTGCAGACGCCTAATGTACGTGGCCCTGTACTAAGGCATCGCTTCTAACCGGGACTGCAGCTTAACACATAGTTCAGTGAGATCCGGCCTACGAAATGGCGGCGACCGTACAATCCATCCAGAGACACAGCTGACGACGGCGGACTTCCAGAGTTCCACTTCCTCATCTGCTAGCACACTCTGCCTCGCTTTCAGCAGCTGAAAAAAAAAAAAACAATGAATCAGCGCACTGCGTATGGACACAACACATCTATCAATGCACCTGAAAAATAGTCACCAAATAAAGTCTTACCCTCTTTCTTCTGGCCCGACTCCGAGCAGATTGCCTCCGCACGCAGCGTGTTGGCTGGCTGCGTATATCTGAAGCTCCTGCGTACCGTCTGAAAATACATCTTACAGGCAGCTGGAAAACAATTAAATGAGAGTGGTATGGATAAAAACTCAAACGCAAGTCACAGTAACAAGGAAGGAGAAAACATTAAAACAAGTCACTTACACACAATCTCGTCTTTATCAACATCGTGCAAATCTGGACTTGCTGATATGGCTCCGAGCAAATAGGAGGTCACCGCCTCATTGTGAGGCGACAGTAGTCTGTGAAAAAAAATGTAAAGCTATGATCGGTATCTATCCGTATCCATTGCCTTTTACCGCAGAATGAAAGCATATTCTCTAAATCTTACTCTTGCTCCGGTTCATAGCGCCTGCAATTAGTCTTCGAGTTGTGAAGACGGTGTACTGCTTCCTGTGAATCACACAAAATACACTTTAATAAAGCTTGTTCTTGCAAGTCTACTATTAGGGGTAGCTTTAGGCTAGGCTGCTATTAGCCGTAGCTTAGGCTAGGCTGCTTTTAGCCTAGCAGGCAGTAATCGAACATATATTTACCGCTAGCATCTCTTCTTTGAGTTCGTCTTGTTCGATGCAGAGTCGCCATCGCGTCCAAGAGGAGTTTTACCCCGAAATCCAGACGCTCCAGACCGCCTGCACAAAGCAAAGCATACATCCTCCACTGTTGCTGCACACCACGCCGCTCTTCTTCTTCTTCTTCTTTTTTTTTTTAATGGCCGTTGGCAAACAACTTATAGGTGCATTACCGCCACCTTCCAGAATGGAGTATGGATCAGACAAACTATTATATTCTCCCTAAAATACCCGTTCTTCTTAGAAAATTAAAAATACTCCCAAAAACTACATCCCCAGATGACCTTTGAAACAATTCCCTTATATCTAGTTTACTTTTATTCTTGTCTAACTCTCTACACAACATTTCTCTTTCCTGAGTATATTTATCACATTCTAAAAATATGTGTTGGACAGTTTCTAATTTCCCACAAATACAACACCCTGTATTATGCTTATTCATTATTTTAAGAGTACTATTTAATCCTGTATGTCCAAACCTTATTCTAGATATAACATCTTCTTCTTTTTTAATTCTATTACATTTTCTTAATTCTCCAACCTTTTTTTGAATACTATAATAAAATCTAGCATTCCCTCCTTTATCCCACTGTTCTTGCCATTTCTTCTTGAAATACATTTTTATAATATTCTTTAACTCATTTTTACTAATGTTAATGTTTAAATCAATATCCTTTTTTACAGCACTCTTAGCAAAACTGTCAGCTAACTCATTACCGATAACACCAATATGAGCAGGAATCCAGACAAATTTAACAACAGAACCACCATTTTTAATCCTAAAAATTGAGTGAAGAATATCCAATATAATATCTTGTCTCGACTCTGAATTAAATTCTAGAAAACTTATTAATGCACTACTTGAATCTGAACAAATTAAAACCTCCCTGTCTTTTGTTTCCTCAATCCATTCTAAAGCCATTATGATAGCCATTAATTCACCTGTATACACTGCCAATTTATCTGTTATTCTTTTATTCCTCATAATATTTAAATCTGGGATTACAAATGCTATACCTACTTTTTCATTTAATGTTTTAGAAGCATCTGTATAAATTTGTATATACTCTGAATATTCTTTTTTAATATAATTTTCCACCGCGCCGCTCTGAGTTTCTTGGAGATCGTAAAGAGCATGCGCGAGATGAACCAGGGTTTCCGCGGATCAATAAAAATAATTAAAAAATCATTCTTTTTTTTTTAAATCAAGGCCTTAATTGGCACTAAAATTATTTAAATATGTTTATCGAAGTATTTATAATTCTTTAATAAAAAATGCTTATAAAAACAATTTCGTCAGATATATTATATCGCTCCAGGCGGAGAAAAAGCTAGAGGATATATATATACGTATATGTGTGTGTGTGTGTTTACATACATACAGGAGTCATGGAACTGTGCTTACAGCTCCTTCATATTTCATGTACACTAATAACTTGTGTACATGGTTCTTGTTGATGGCATTAAAATCATTTCAAATAGCATTAAATTAGAGTCACTCATTCCTGTATGAACCCTGTGAACGCTTAATTTAATATGACATATTAAAAAAATCCCACCATCATCCAGCATATGTTCAGTTTCTGCCCAAATATATATTTATATTTTTGTAGATTTTTGTAACGGGGATAAGGATAATTCAAAACTGCTTTTTTTGAATGAACTTGTTCTCTTCTCCCAAACATCTCTTTTCATTCCTGTAATAAGAAGTTTCTTTTGAATGGATTTGATTAAAGTTTAAGTCCCTCGGTATAAAATAAATATTTTGATGGAGATGAGAAATCTGCTTCCTCGTTGGTGAATAACCAATAGTTTGGATCCAATCATTTAAATAAACGGTGTTAGTTTTTTTTCTTTAATATATAAGAATTGTGCTATAATTTCTAGTCACCGATCTGTTGCTGCTATATTTTAATTTGACGAACCAGAATTTGTCGATGTTCTTTTTCCTGTTTGGTGCGATTGCAATTGCGGATCTTGACCTGGCCGGACCTTATGACCACAGTGTACCAATCTTCTGATGGCTACTTCCAACAGGATAATGCGCCATGTTATAAAGTGAATCATCTCAGACTCATTTCTTGAAACTTTTCCACTTAAGTTATTGTGAATTGAGCATATTGACAGACAACATTTTATTTTTTATCTTAAATGCAATTTTTTTTTTTATAATTACTGCTCTAAATGTATTGCTCTGTCAGCTAAAGATCTGTTTTGGTCTCTATACTTTAATTAAATAAATCAATTCAAGCTAAAATGTAAGAGGCTATACTGAGCCTGATCTCTTTGTATCAGAGATTTTCTTACCTTCTAGAAAAATGTCACTTAAAACCCCCCCTGCCACCCTGATTTGCATTTGTATAGCTCACAGCATGTTCATTTACATGTTAAAGCCTCCCCTAGAATTCCATGGGGGGGAGGCATGGGGGGAACACTGCCTAACAAAGTCCACGTCAATTTCTGACAATTTACGGGAGTTTTCGGCGAAGCCTGCAAATTGTCATAAACTGCCGCTAACCTGAATTTCCACGACAATCTACTTTTCATGCAGTGCTAAAATAAATTTAATGAAGCGAAAGAAAACCTAATTGACAGCAAAAAAATTATATTTGAGATGGAATAAAAAGTTGGAGAGAAAATATTTAGTCGTTGAATAAATAACAGATAACACATTAGCATGCCAAATTTATGCTGGATTGAATATGGGTTCAAAAAAATCATTCATAATATTAGGAATCCATTTTGAAAAATTCTTTTTGTTTTGTAAAACTGCTACGGCTCTCATAGGCAACCCTCTGCTATTTATAATATCTGTGAAACCCCACATTTGGGCACAACTTGTTTTCTTAGATTCTGAATGAAAAAAATGCTTTAAACCAAAAACCAATGGGTATGAATAGCTCTCAGGTAATTCTGTTTTTAAACACTTGTAGAAATATTTAATTCTGATATACTATTTATCCCTGTACATATGTCGCTATTATTAGGTCTGTTTTCTAAAAAGCTGATTTGCTAAAATACATGAATTTATTTTGAAACTAATAATTCTTTGATGCTTAAACCTCTTTTTAAAACTTGTATTTAAGGAGGCCTGGGAGAGAAAGACCAGTTTCTCCCACACCAAGCGATGTTTCTATGACAAGCAACATGTCAAAGGGTGATCCTTTGAACTTCAGAGACAAGTATGACATTTCACCATATTTTCTCTATCGTTCTCTTGAACATTCAGAAATTAGCGTTACAATTAGAAAAACAATGATCATACTGTCCTTGCAGCGTTTGAAGTGTTACAATTTTTACAGAAACTCTAATTTGTTTTAAAGCTCACCTGAACACCAAAGACCAGTGTCACCTTCACCAAGCCTGAGAAGTGACATGTCAAACGAGGAACCTCCTAACTTCAGCAATCACAGGTAAAATACTTTACCAGTAAAACATGCTTTATTTGATGCAGGAATAAAATCAGAATTTGTTTCTGTTGTAGTAATATTAGTATTACCTTGATTATATATGAACAAGTAGGATTTGTACTGGTGTACGGTCATTTTGACTCCGTGCTTACTCAGTATTCGGCTGCAGTCATCTTTCATATGATATGGATGATGACTTTTCTATTATCATGATTTACACATGGACATAATAATTTACAAATGCCCAATACCATACAAATATTTATACAAGATCTAAAGTAATATCTAGAGTCTTGTTTCTGTAATAATTCAAAATGTCAAGATAGAAAATATCACAAAACATCAATTACATAAAGAATATAAAACAAATAACTTTATTTCTTTGTCAGTATGTAATGAACCATTCATTTAACACAACCAATACTTTAAATGATTACCGTCACAATTGGATCTATTGACCCAGTTTGCAATATATAAGAGTTTGACTTTGGCTGCTGACTACTTACCACTAAATAAAAGTTTTTGCTCACAAACTGAATAAACAGATGTGGTATATTGCTGCCTACAGGTCCCAAGCTTTATTTTGAAAACTGACTGCATATTGGTTGTAATCATGCTACTGTCTTTTAACCCCCCCCCCCCGGTTAAAAGGGGGTTCCTCCATCTGCTTTTTCTAATTGGCTTAGCCGAGGATATGACCTCACCAAGGGAGAACTGGTGTAAGCAGGTCTAACTTGGCCTGATGTTCTCTGCTGACTCGCTGTTCCTACACATAACGCTTTACTTAGGGAGTGAAAGTACATCAGTGAGTTTATCAAAATGAAAAATATAATAAAATCCTAGTTTCTCCATTATGAAAATATTACATCTATTAAAATTTGATAATAAGTCTACATCATTTTTCTAGACTAGTATGAGGATTTGAAAAAAGTTTTGTGTCAGTAATTCACATGACATAAAAACAATTGGGGAAAAATAACAATATTGAAGAAAAAATGTATATAAAAGATAAAAACACTCTTTAGGACAGAAAGGAGTGAGACTTGTCTTTGTAGTCTCAATTAAGGATTTGTTATTCCTTTTGCGTCCAAGGATCAGAGGACATAAAAGTTATTCATTATTATTAATCAGGAGTAAGTGCCTGTTAGAGGCTCCTCCCAAATTTTGGTAATTGTAGCCCCTCCCTCCTGAGGCTAGAAAAAGGACCTTGTTCTGTTATGCTGAAACCAGACAACCCTTATAGGGTGGCTGACAAGTGCAAACACACAGAAAACAATTAAATGATTTGCAAAAACATGTGTGGTGCAAACCCCAAAGCATGCTAACCCCCCAAAAAACTGAAAAAGAAAAATGCTGCAAATAAAAATGAAACAAGTTGCAAACTGATGAAAGCTTGCAGCAAACAACCAATTGAACTGGAAACACATGCATGATGCAAATTCCAAAACATGTAAACACTAAAAAAAAAACTAATTTACAAACTACAAACAAAAAATGCTGCAATCACTAAAATAGAAGCAAAAACTTAGAATCAACAAAACTAATTCCTACCAAAAATGCTATAATCACCAACATGCCAGAAGCATTAGGTCTAATCATGAAGTTATTTTTGTGTTTTTATTCAAATCGAGAGAAAAACTGATCTGAAATGGGAGAAAATAATTTTAAAAACTAAAATAAATTTAATGAAGCGAAAGAAAATCTAATTGACAGCAAAAAAATTATATTTGAGATGGAATAAAAAGTTGGAGAGAAAATATTTAGTCGTTGAATAAATAACAGATAACACATTAGCATGCCAAATTTATGCTGGATTGAATATGGGTTCAAAAAAATCATTCATAATATTAGGAATCCATTTTGAAAAATTCTTTTTGTTTTGTAAAACTGCTACGGCTCTCATAGGCAACCCTCTGCTATTTATAATATCTGTGAAACCCCACATTTGGGCACAACTTGTTTTCTTAGATTCTGAATGAAAAAAATGCTTTAAACCAAAAACCAATGGGTATGAATAGCTCTCAGGTAATTCTGTTTTTAAACACTTGTAGAAATATTTAATTCTGATATACTATTTATCCCTGTACATATGTCGCTATTATTAGGTCTGTTTTCTAAAAAGCTGATTTGCTAAAATACATGAATTTATTTTGAAACTAATAATTCTTTGATGCTTAAACCTCTTTTTAAAACTTGTATTTAAGGAGGCCTGGGAGAGAAAGACCAGTTTCTCCCACACCAAGCGATGTTTCTATGACAAGCAACATGTCAAAGGGTGATCCTTTGAACTTCAGAGACAAGTATGACATTTCACCATATTTTCTCTATCGTTCTCTTGAACATTCAGAAATTAGCGTTACAATTAGAAAAACAATGATCATACTGTCCTTGCAGCGTTTGAAGTGTTACAATTTTTACAGAAACTCTAATTTGTTTTAAAGCTCACCTGAACACCAAAGACCAGTGTCACCTTCACCAAGCCTGAGAAGTGACATGTCAAACGAGGAACCTCCTAACTTCAGCAATCACAGGTAAAATACTTTACCAGTAAAACATGCTTTATTTGATGCAGGAATAAAATCAGAATTTGTTTGTGTTGTAGTAATATTAGTATTACCTTGATTATATATGAACAAGTAGGATTTGTACTGGTGTACGGTCATTTTGACTCCGTGCTTACTCAGTATTCGGCTGCAGTCATCTTTCATATGATATGGATGATGACTTTTCTATTATCATGATTTACACATGGACATAATAATTTACAAATGCCCAATACCATACAAATATTTATACAAGATCTAAAGTAATATCTAGAGTCTTGTTTCTGTAATAATTCAAAATGTCAAGATAGAAAATATCACAAAACATCAATTACATAAAGAATATAAAACAAATAACTTTGTTTCTTTGTCAGTATCTAATGAACCATTCATTTAACACAACCAATACTTTAAATGATTACCGTCACAATTGGATCTATTGACCCAGTTTGCAATATATAAGAGTTTGACTTTGGCTGCTGACTACTTACCACTAAATAAAAGTTTTTGCTCACAAACTGAATAAACAGATGTGGTATATTGCTGCCTACAGGTCCCAAGCTTTATTTTGAAAACTGACTGCATATTGGTTGTAATCATGCTACTGTCTTTTAACCCCCCCCCCCCCGGTTAAAAGGGGGTTCCTCCATCTGCTTTTTCTAATTGGCTTAGCCGAGGATATGACCTCACCAAGGGAGAACTGGTGTAAGCAGGTCTAACTTGGCCTGATGTTCTCTGCTGACTCGCTGTTCCTACACATAACGCTTTACTTAGGGAGTGAAAGTACATCAGTGAGTTTATCAAAATGAAAAATATAATAAAATCCTAGTTTCTCCATTATGAAAATATTACATCTATTAAAATTTGATAATAAGTCTACATCATTTTTCTAGACTAGTATGAGGATTTGAAAAAAGTTTTGTGTCAGTAATTCACATGACATAAAAACAATTGGGGAAAAATAACAATATTGAAGAAAAAATGTATATAAAAGATAAAAACACTCTTTAGGACAGAAAGGAGTGAGACTTGTCTTTGTAGTCTCAATTAAGGATTTGTTATTCCTTTTGCGTCCAAGGATCAGAGGACATAAAAGTTATTCATTATTATTAATCAGGAGTAAGTGCCTGTTAGAGGCTCCTCCCAAATTTTGGTAATTGTAGCCCCTCCCTCCTGAGGCTAGAAAAAGGACCTTGTTCTGTTATGCTGAAACCAGACAACCCTTATAGGGTGGCTGACAAGTGCAAACACACAGAAAACAATTAAATGATTTGCAAAAACATGTGTGGTGCAAACCCCAAAGCATGCTAACCCCCCAAAAAACTGAAAAAGAAAAATGCTGCAAATAAAAATGAAACAAGTTGCAAACTGATGAAAGCTTGCAGCAAACAACCAATTGAACTGGAAACACATGCATGATGCAAATTCCAAAACATGTAAACACTAAAAAAAAAACTAATTTACAAACTACAAACAAAAAATGCTGCAATCACTAAAATAGAAGCAAAAACTTAGAATCAACAAAACTAATTCCTACCAAAAATGCTATAATCACCAACATGCCAGAAGCATTAGGTCTAATCATGAAGTTATTTTTGTGTTTTTATTCAAATCGAGAGAAAAACTGATCTGAAATGGGAGAAAATAATTTTAAAAACTAAAATAAATTTAATGAAGCGAAAGAAAACCTAATTGACAGCAAAAAATTATATTTGAGATGGAATAAAAAGTTTGAGAGAAAATATTTAGTCGTTGAATAAATAACAGATAACACATTAGCATGCCAAATTTATGCTGGATTGAATATGGGTTCAAAAAAATCATTCATAATATTAGGAATCCATTTTGAAATTTTTTTTTTGTTTTGTAAAACTGCTACGGCTCTCATAGGCAACCCTCTGCTATTTATAATATCTGTGAAACCCCACATTTGGGCACAACTTGTTTTCTTAGATTCTGAATGAAAAAAATGCTTTAAACCAAAAACCAATGGGTATGAATAGCTCTCAGGTAATTCTGTTTTTAAACACTTGTAGAAATATTTAATTCTGATATACTATTTATCCCTGTACATATGTCGCTATTATTAGGTCTGTTTTCTAAAAAGCTGATTTGCTAAAATACATGAATTTATTTTGAAACTAATAATTCTTTGATGCTTAAACCTCTTTTTAAAACTTGTATTTAAGGAGGCCTGGGAGAGAAAGACCAGTTTCTCCCACACCAAGCGATGTTTCTATGACAAGCAACATGTCAAAGGGTGATCCTTTGAACTTCAGAGACAAGTATGACATTTCACCATATTTTCTCTATCGTTCTCTTGAACATTCAGAAATTAGCGTTACAATTAGAAAAACAATGATCATACTGTCCTTGCAGCGTTTGAAGTGTTACAATTTTTACAGAAACTCTAATTTGTTTTAAAGCTCACCTGAACACCAAAGACCAGTGTCACCTTCACCAAGCCTGAGAAGTGACATGTCAAACGAGGAACCTCCTAACTTCAGCAATCACAGGTAAAATACTTTACCAGTAAAACATGCTTTATTTGATGCAGGAATAAAATCAGAATTTGTTTCTGTTGTAGTAATATTAGTATTACCTTGATTATATATGAACAAGTAGGATTTGTACTGGTGTACGGTCATTTTGACTCCGTGCTTACTCAGTATTCGGCTGCAGTCATCTTTCATATGATATGGATGATAACTTTTCTATTATCATGATTTACACATGGACATAATAATTTACAAATGCCCAATACCATACAAATATTTATACAAGATCTAAAGTAATATCTAGAGTCTTGTTTCTGTAATAATTCAAAATGTCAAGATAGAAAATATCACAAAACATCAATTACATAAAGAATATAAAACAAATAACTTTGTTTCTTTGTCAGTATGTAATGAACCATTCATTTAACACAACCAATACTTTAAATGATTACCGTCACAATTGGATCTATTGACCCAGTTTGCAATATATAAGAGTTTGACTTTGGCTGCTGACTACTTACCACTAAATAAAAGTTTTTGCTCACAAACTGAATAAACAGATGTGGTATATTGCTGCCTACAGGTCCCAAGCTTTATTTTGAAAACTGACTGCATATTGGTTGTAATCATGCTACTGTCTTTTAACCCCCCCCCCCCGGTTAAAAGGGGGTTCCTCCATCTGCTTTTTCTAATTGGCTTAGCCGAGGATATGACCTCACCAAGGGAGAACTGGTGTAAACAGGTCTAACTTGGCCTGATGTTCTCTGCTGACTCGCTGTTCCTACACATAACGCTTTACTTAGGGAGTGAAAGTACATCAGTGAGTTTATCAAAATGAAAAATATAATAAAATCCTAGTTTCTCCATTATGAAAATATTACATCTATTAAAATTTGATAATAAGTCTACATCATTTTTCTAGACTAGTATGAGGATTTGAAAAAAGTTTTGTGTCAGTAATTCACATGACATAAAAACAATTGGGGAAAAATAACAATATTGAAGAAAAAATGTATATAAAAGATAAAAACACTCTTTAGGACAGAAAGGAGTGAGACTTGTCTTTGTAGTCTCAATTAAGGATTTGTTATTCCTTTTGCGTCCAAGGATCAGAGGACATAAAAGTTATTCAATGGAGTCTAGGTGGAAATTCAACTGAAGAAACTCAATTATTTTTTCATACATCCACCTGCGTCACAGCCAATCAGCTTTGAACCACACCTCCACGAAAGCCAATCAGCATCCAAAGCTCATCTTAAAAGGCCTCCGATCCGCACCTGTCTGCTCCTGTGTGCAGGCGATGGATGCGCTGTGTGACTTCATTCAGATGACACCATTTCAACCCACCTCCAGCCCCTCCTCCATCATCGTGGCTAAAGCTTCATCAGAGTGTCATTCCTCCTGGACTCTTACTGCGTTCTCTGTCTCATCTTAATCGGTCCGGCAGAAGACATGTTGAGCCTGGTTCTGCCATAGGTTTCTTCCCAACGTGGAGTTTTTCCTCTCCACTTTCGCTTCATGCTTGCTCATCATGGACAGGTTCTCTCAACCTGTGTTATCCAACTGGACTTCCATCTTCCAGGTCCCCGAGTGAAGCTCTAGTATCAGCTCACGCAATTCACTGGATCTCTCTATAAAGCTCAGCATACTGTCTTGCTAATCAGCAGCATACAGACTGACCAACTTCATCTATCTCCTCTTTTTTTTTTTTTTTTTTTTTTTTTTTTTTTCACAGATCAAAATAAAAACTCAGAATACACCAATAGAATAAAATAAAATAAAAATGTGACGGAGTGTGACAGAAACCCTTTAGGGCTTATACCAAGGCCACACCCGTAAACCAACAAAATATCAGGCAGCTCACATTATGAAAGTCCTTTTAGAGAAAACAGAATAGACATATACAGTAACATTATTTTTACATTTTAGCATTCAGATTTCAGGGGGTCAAATTTTTGTAAAATCATACATCACTGTCTTTTTTGGATAACAGTATTTTTTTCAAAGACTTTCTACCATTTATTTCTGAAGATTCCAAATATTTTCCATATTCATTCCATAATTTTGCACCACGATGCCGAAAAGAAAATTGTACTTGAGTTTTAATACTTAACGGTAAATGAAAAGACAAAGCTTGTCTAGTATTATAAGAATGCACTTGGCAGTTCTTAACAAAATATTTCTTAAAAGTATCAGGAGACTGACCTTGTTTTATCATAAAAATAAAGGTACATGTTTGATAAATATTAATTTCAAAAATATTCAACAGCTGTAATTTGGAAAAAAGAGGAGCACTAGCTGCATCAACTTTAGAGAATGTTGCTAAGCGAACAAAAGCTTTTTGCAAAAGTAGTATTTTTTTAAGATAACTAGGAAATGTACTTGCCCAAACAATATTACAGTATGACAGGTATGGATAGATTAATGAATAATATAGAGTTAACATCACTTTATTGTGAACAAAATTTCTAATCCTTCTCAAAATACCTGGAGATTTAGTGACTTTTTTGCAGACTGTACCAATTTGTTCTCTCCAAAGGAGTTTGTCGTCAAGTTGGACACCCAAAAAACGAACAGTAGAAACTTTATCAATTTGTTGGTTTTGAATACAAATTCTTATATCATCAAATGTGTAATTTTTGTGCCCAGCAAAAACCATGAAATTAAATTTTTTCACATTCAAAGATAACTTATTGGCTTGGAACCAGGTTGAAAACTGGGCTAGATCTCTGTTCAAATTCTCTGTAATAGTAGTCAAGTCTTTATGAGAGATTAGAAAATTTGTATCATCTGCAAACAGAATAGGTATTGTAGAACTTGTGACATTAGCAAGATCATTAATGTAAACTAAAAACAATAAAGGTCCTAGGATGGAGCCCTGCGGTACTCCAAATTGTATTGAGTTTTGCTTTGAATCAAGACCATTCATTGATACATACTGATATCTATTTTTTACATAACTAGTTAACCATTTATGAACAAAACCTTGAAACCCATATTTAAATAACTTTTTCAGTAAAATTTCATGATGAACAGTATCAATTGCTTTAGAGAGATCCAAGAACACTCTTATTGTATATTCATTATTGCTTAACGCAGTTAATATTCTGTCAGTAAGTTCTACAAGTGCCATATAGGTGGAATAATTCTTCCTAAAACCATATTGATACTGATAGATTATATTATGTGTATTTAAATGTTTTAATTATCTTTTATAAATCAATTTTTCTAAAACTTTTGAAAAACATGGTAAAACGGAAACAGGATGGTAATTTGTGAACATACTTGGGTCACCAGTTTTAAATACAGGGATGACTTTAGCTACTTTTAAATCTGTAGGGACAATACCAGTAATCATTGACAGTGCACATATGTGTGTCAGAGGTTTGCTCAATGGGGTCTGCACATCTTTTATCAGAGAGGCTCTAATGCCATCATGCCCTGGAGCTGAGTTTTTTAACTGCATTATAACCTCACACACTTCATTACTGTTTGGAAGATCAAAGCTATCCATTATTGGAAATTAATCTTTAATATAGTCAACTGGATCAATAGTTGTGTTTTGGATCTTGTTGGCAAGTGTGATACCTATACTTGAAAAAAAATTATTAAAATGACAAACAATTTTATATGGATCAGACAGAACAGAGTTTCCATTAACAAAAGTTGAAGGAAACTTTGATGCAGCCTTTTTTCTTTGTAATAATTGGTTAATCGTTTTCCAAGTGTTTTTTATATTATTTAAACATTTTCTAAACTGATTGCTGTAATATTTTTTCTTAGATGCTCTCAACAAATGAGCAAATTTATTTTTATATAATTTATATGTAGCCAGATTTAGTGGAGTTGGGCATGTAAGATATTTTTTATATAATTTATTTTTAATTCTAGAAGATTTTTTCAAGCCACTTGTAAACCAAGGGTTATTTTTCCTCACAACTCCATGCATTAATGGGAAACATTTATCAAAACAAGAGTTAAACAGTTTTATGAACACTTTATAGGCAGAATTTGGTTCATTTTCATTATAAACTTCATCAAAAGAAATTTCTTGTATCATTTTTTTTTATTTGATTTTATTTGATTTACTAAAATTTCTAAAGTATTGAGTTTCAACTTGTCTTGTCTTCACATTTTCATTATATTTTGCAAAAAGAAATACTGGTAAATGATCAGTTATGTCTGTAAATAATAGCCCAGACATCGTATCATATGACAAAGTATTAAACAGTATATTGTCGATCAAAGTTGTAGATTGATTAGTTATCCTGGTTGGTTTGTCTATAGCTGGAAAAAAATAATTAGCATGCAGCATATTTAGAAATTCATTTGTCGGACCATGAATTTCACTTTTCAAAATATTAATATTAAAATCTCCCATAATATAACATATTTTGTCTTCTTGATTTATTTTTCCAAGAACTTTGTTCATTCCATCATTAAATTTAATAATATCAACATCAGGTGGCTTATAAGTTTGACCAATCACAATATTTTTGTTTTTTGAAGTCTCAAGCTCAACAAACGTTGATTCTATATTAAATTCTTCATTATTGAGAATTAGATCATCTCGTTGAATAAATTTAAAATTTTGTTTCACAAAAATTGACAGCCCTCCCCCTGTCCGGTTCTGCCTGATAGTATGGACAGAGTTGTATCCTGGCAGTTCATATAAACCAGATTCTTTAGAATTTTCTGTAAGCCATGTTTCACTGAGGCCAACAACCGAAAATGAATGATTTAATGTACCATAGATAAGAATGTGACTAAGTGATCATAATTTTTAGGAAGACTACGTATATTCAAATTGAGTAGAGAGAAAAAACACTATCCTTAGATGCAGACTCCAACAAAAGATTAAATTTTTCTTCATTATAATATTTGCAGGAACGATTATTTAGAGTACCATAAAAGAAGTTAATATCAGGATCAAAATCATCATTATAGGAATTGTCAAGATCGTTCAAATCAAAGGGGTGAAATATTAATACATTTTCATCCAAATTTCTATCCATAGTATTTTCGTTATGACTTGAAAGCAGGTTCTCATCATCAAGCATGTAAAAAGGAAACTCAGCAGAGCAGTCTCTACAAAACCAAGAGAGCCAGAGATTAGAATAATGTCCAGTTATATGAGTACATTTTAAATGAAATCCTCTTTTGCAAATAGAACATAATACTTGGCATTTCATTGCCTTTTGGCATTTAGAACAACTATCTTTACTGTCCATGTCAAACATAATCAAGTGAAGTCATTCACTTCATGATCATTTACATTATTGTACTTTTGCTTTGTTTGTGGGACGGTGTGTTATGAGCTTATCAAATCTCAGATAAGCTATGTCCCCTCGCTTTCTGGCTTCTTTCATGGCAGGAATAAGTTCTTTGCGCTTTTGTCTCACAGTCTCAGAGTAATCCTCATTGATGTAGATGTTCGATCCTTTGAGGTATCTTGCCTTCTCCAAAACAGTATTTCTGTCTTTGTAACGAAGAAACCTGGCCACAATTGGCCTTGGTTTTTCATCTTTAGCAGGTGGCTTTCCAGAGCGATGGACACGCTCAAGCTCAATGTGTTTTTGATCTAGTTTGAGTTTTTCACTCAGGATCTTTCTTATTTTATCCTCTGCATCACTCCATTTTTCATGTTCAGACTCAGGGATTCCATCAAAAACCAGGTTTTTACGCCGAGACTGATTTTCCAAGTAGTCAATTTTCACATTCACAGTGTTCATCTTTGAATTGAGCATGTTGACATCATTGTTCAGGTCTTTACAGTTTTGGGACAACTTTTCTGCATGAAGCTTTTCATCCTCAAAATCCTTCTGAGTGAACTGAAGGCTTGCCCTCAGGTCACACAAATCCTTTGTGAGTCCATCCAGTCTTTTATTGAATGAATCCATGAGCATTTGCACAAAGCCTTTGTATGTATTTTCTTGCTGTTTTAACAACTCCATATAAACAGACTTCTGCTGCTCCAGTAGATCACGTACCTGAGTAGCAGTGATGAAGTCCTCCTCATTTTTCATCTTTGGAGGCATTTTGTTGTCCACATGTGAATATTAATCCAAATCCAAAGTTCAAGGGAGGTTCTCCTATTGTTAGGCCCAGCACTTACGTATCCAAATGTATGCACTTCAGAGAGTCTATTCTCCAAAAATATGTTGAGAAATCTCAATATAAATTGATATCCTCACTTGATACCTCACAGGTTTCAGGCCTGGGGGGGAAACAGCTCTATTCTTTGCTCCTGTTCATGCATATCTATCAAAATGAAGCGCTAAGTTTCCTGCCAAGGTCTGAGCGCCAAAGACAAAGCAATTGTATCAATAAATTTCTCCTAATTGTCTTTTCTCCTGTGTGAGTTTTTCAGGCTGAATTGTTTATCAAAAGTAAGTGCCTGTCAGAGGTTCTGCTTGAATTTTGCAAAATTTAGCTACTTTCTCCTGAGGCTAGAAAAAGGATCCTGGTTTGCTAGGCTGAAACCAGACAACCTTTACTGGGTGGCCAACGGTTCTCTAGATATATGCAGCTTGGTCCAATTAGCTGGCCACTTTCAGGTATTTAAAAGTGAATGACAGAATGTTGCATGTGTTAATTGGTGATAAAAAAAAACTATTTTAATATCTTTTAGAAATGAAAATATTCTATTTTTTTTATTAAAAATATATAGGTAGAATTTTGCAACATATTTTAACAGTGTGCAGAATTTGGTCAATTGGTCAGTAAAAATTCTAATAAACAAAAATAGGTCTATTTTTCATACATTTTTCAGAGTGCCAGAAAATTATCGTTAAAAGCAAAAAAGCAATAACATATCTCTTTATAAGAAACATTCACTGTCCTGTTTTAGCTGTTTATAAAAGCATATGTTTTTAGGGAAAAGCTTTGCCTAAGGTAAAATATTCTGATCAAATTAGATAAGGGCAGAGATGGCAAAAGTACTCACTTTCCGTACTTGAGTAAAAGTACAGATACTTGTGTTAAAAAATACTCTGGTAAAAGTGGAAGTACTGATTAAACTTCTTTACTCAAGTAAAAGTAACAAAGTACAGGCTTGTAAATTTACTTAAAGTATAAAAGTAAAAGTAGAAACCACTTTTTTCATGCCGTTGCCTACATTTTAAATGGATGTCTGCCAATAGGACTAGATCTCTGTTGTGTTCATTTTCAATCATCTCGTCGTCCATACTACTATGCTAACGCCACCGCCACCAAGCTGCAATGATTTGCCGCAAATGAATACCGCCGAATCTGTCGATTCATCTTGTAGTGGTGCGTCAAATGCAACGTAGATTCCCATCCAATTAGATTGAATTTGGTATTGATGACGTGAAAAATAATAACGGTAACTCCATTTAAATGATTCAAAACTAAAGTAACGAGCAAATTTTTAAAATGTAAGGAGTAGAAAGTACAGATATTTGTGTAAAAATGTAAGGAGTAGAAGTAAAAAGTCGCCATAAAAATAAGTAGTAAAGTAAAGTAAAAATATCAGAAAAATCTACTTGAGTACAGTAACGAAGTATTTGTACTTCGTTACTTCCCATCTCTGGATAAGGGGAACTTTTTTCCCCTCTTCTTGTGTTTAAGCTCAGTGGAAAACAAAGACCAGGTTTCGTCTGATGTTAAATTATCCAACCTGTTGTCAAGGTAAGACACGGAGAAAAAAAACATTTAAAAACAAGTTCACGGACATTTTCTGTTAGTTCAGAGACTACTGTCTCTTTTAATGTGACAAACTTTTTCTGAGAAGAACTCTAATAGGGATGAAGAGGATTGTGTAACTGATGCTCAGATAGATTTGTCTTTTTTCATAAGAGACATTTAACTGCTAATCAGTACAAAGTTGTTTTGAGTCATCACTCCTAGGTCCTGGGTAAACAATGGTTCGTCATAAGAGACAATAATGTGTCCAGCTGCATCCTCGCATGCAAGCCCCAACAGTTACAGTAGAAAACACTCAGAAGTTGGTTTTACAAGTAAGATTTCCTGATGACCATAAAGCTGAAAATATGTCAGTCTTTCCAATTATTTTTAACCATATATATATATATATATATATATATATATATATATATATATATATATATATATATATATATATATATATATATATATATATATATATATATATATATATATATATGATCTATCTTTGCTTCAATAAATATAAACAAAAAAATGTACTGTCTTCTCTGTGTCCTCAGTGTTGATAATGAATCTCAATCCCAGGCTGACAAAGGTAAGCATGATTCTGTGTAGAAAAATTGTTTAAGTTCTTATCACCACTGGCTTTAAATTATTTACGATTATTCACATTTTTATCAGATTTAAAAAAAAAGAAATGTTAACTTGAAATTCGTACTCGTACTCGTCGTCTCCCGCTTTATCCGGAACCGGGTCGCGGGGGCAGCAGACTAAGCAGAGACTCCCAGACTTCCCTCTCCGCAGACACCTCCTCCAGCTCTGTTGGGGGAAGCCCTAGGCGCTCCCAGGCCAGCCGAGAGACATAGTCTCTCCAGCGTGTCCTGGGTCGTCCCCCGGGCCTCCTCCCGGTGGGACATGCCTGGAACACCTCCCGAGGGAGGCGTCCAGGGGGCATCCGAAGAAGATGTCCGAGCCAACTCAACTGACTCCTCTCGATGTGGAGGAGAACCGGCTCTACTCTGAGCCTCTCCCGAATGACCGAGCTCCTCACCCTATCTCTAAGGGAGAGCCCAGCCACCCTGCGGAGAAAGCTCATTTCAGCCGCTTGTATCCGGGATCTCGTTCTTTCGGTCATGATCCAAATTTCATGACCATAGGTGAGGGTAGGAACGTAGACCGACCGGTAAATTGAGAGCTTTGCCTTTTCGCTCAGCTCTCTCTTCACCAGGACAGACCGGTGCAGCGTCCGCATTATTGCAGCAGCCGCACCGATCCGTCTATCGATCTCCCGCTCCATTCTTCCCTCACTCGTGAACAGGACCCCAAGATACTTGAACTCCTCCACTTGAGGCAAGGACTCCCCTCCAACCCGAAGGGGACATGCCACCTTTTTCCGGTCGAGAACCATGGCCTCGGATTTGGAGGAGCTGATTCTCATCCCGGCCGCTTCACACTCGGCTGCGAACCGCCCCAGCGCACGCTGTAGGTCTTGGCAGGAGGGAGCCAGCAGAACTACGTCATCCGCAAAAAGCAGGGACGAGATCCGCTGTTCCCCAAACCAGACCCCCTCCGGTCCTTGGCTGCACCTAGAAATCCTGTCCATAAAAGTTATGAACAGGACCGGTGACAGAGGGCAGCCCTGTCGGAGTCCAACATGCACCGGGAACAGGTCCGACTTAATGCCGGCAATGCGAACCAGACTCCTGCTCCGCTTGTACAGAGAACGGATGGCCCCTAATAAAGGGCCCCCGACTCCATACTCCTGGAGCACCCCCCACAGGGCAGCACGAGGGACACGGTCGAATGCCTTCTCCAAGTCCACAAAACACATGTGGACGGGTTGGGCAAACTCCCATGAACCCTCAAGCACCCTGCAGAGGGTGTAGAGCTGGTCCACCGTTCCACGGCCAGGACGAAAACCACACTGCTCCTCCTGCAGCCGAGGTTCGACAATCAGCCGGACTCTCCTCTCCAGCACCCTGGCATAGGCCTTTCCGGGGAGGCTGAGAAGTGTGATTCCCCGATAGTTGGAACACACCCTCCGGTCCCCCTTCTTGTGGAGGGGAACCACCACCCCAGTCTGCCAATCCAGGGGAACTGTCCCCGACCTCCACGCGATGTTGAAGAGACGTGTCAACCATGACAGCCCGACAACATCCAGAGCTTTGAGATACTCAGGACGGATCTCGTCCACCCCCGAAGCCTTGCCACCGTGGAGTTTTTTGACTACCTCGGTGACTTCAGCCTGGGTGATGGACGAACCCAGCCCCAAGCACCTCGTCTCTTCTTCCCCCACGGAAGGCATGTCTGTCGGGTTGAGGAGATCCTCAAAGTATTCCTTCCACCGCCCGACAATATCCTCCTTCAAGGTCAGCAGCTCCCCACACCCACTAAAATCAGTGTTAGTGAAGCACTGCTTTCCCCTCCGGAGGCGCCTGACGGTTTGCCAGAATCGCTTTGAGGCCAACCAATAGTCTTTTTCCATGGCCTCTCCGAACTCCTCCCAGGCCCAAGATTTTGCCTCTGCAACCGCCCGGGCCGCGACACGCTTGGCCTCACGGTACCTGCTTGCTGCTTCAGGAGTCCCACAAGCCAGCCAGGCTTGATAGGACTCCTTCTTCAGCTTGACGGCATCCCTTACTATAGGTGTCCACCACCGGGTTCGGGGATTGCCACCACGACAGGCACCGCAAACCTTACGGCCACAGCTACGGGCAGCCGCATCGACAATAGAGGCAGAGAACACAGCCCATTCGGACTCCATGTCTCCAACCTCCCTCGGAACCTGAGAGAAGCTCTCCCGGAGGTGGGAGTTGAACACGTCTCTGACCGAGGGCTCCACCAGACGTTCCCAGCAGACCCTCACTACACGTTTGGGCCTGCCGAGTCTAACTTGAAATTATATTTTTTAATTCCCTGGTTTGTTATACTTTGCTTTTTTTAATCAGTTTCAAATTAGGCTTATTTGCAAAGTAGGAATATTTATTGTCTGTATTAAAGAGTTGTATGTACTGTATGTATTTAAATCTTCACATTATTACTATCATCTGTCTTAGAAACCAACGGGGAACTGGAAGAGTTACAGTCAAAGATGAAAAAAAGGTTTCTCAAGGAAATATCTTTTGATAAAGAGGAAAACCACCCTAACCAGAAAACAACAGAGCATATCATCAGAGAAAAACGTGGCTCTAAAGAAGAGGAAAGTCAACAGAAAAAGCCAGTAAAATTGAAAGCGGCTTCAGAGATCTTTAAAGAAGAAAAACGGAATAGAATAAGAACGGTGCTGACTATTGGAGAAGCTGGAATAGGGAAATCTTTTCATATGCAAAAATTTACAAAAGAGTGGGCTGAAAATAATACAAGACCTGGCGGATTTTCTCTTTAAAAACACAGTCCCTCTCTTCTACAGAGAAAAAAGTAGAAATTTTATTTCCTCTTAACTTCTCAAAGCTAAACTTTGTAAAAGAGAAAAAAATCAGTTTGCTTGAACTTCTCAACCATTTCTTTGAGGAAACCAAGAATATCATTATCTCAGACTATTCTCAGTTAGGAATTGTATTTCTTTTAGATGGACTTGATGCATATCAACACTCTTTAGACTTTAATTACAGTGAAATCTTGAATGATGTCAGAGAACCAACATCATTGGACGTCCTACTTGTAAACCTCATCAAAGGAAATCTGCTTCCAGAAGCCAAAGTGTGGATAACCTCCAGGCCCGCTGCTGCTGACAAAATACCAGATGATGTTGTTGACAGGATAACAGAAATACGAGGTAAAAGCTGCAGATGCATTGCCTTCCAGTTATTTTGAAATTCAATGTGATTCTTTAATTTAAACTGTTATCAACAAGCTACCCTAAGATATAGTTAAAACTAAATCAAAGTGTGATGCCTTTTATAAAATATACTGTCTTTTATCCTTTCAAAATGACTTTGAAGAGTAAATTCGCCTAGAGTGGAATATGTAAATTACACTAAAATAAAAGTAAAGCAGTTAGATGCAATGCTTCGATTTAAGGATGTAAAAACCACTCAGAAAAAAATATCTTTACTTTAGTGAAAAAACTGAGTTTATAATCAATAATATCTGGAATACAAGGTTCTAATATTTATGCACCACTGTCTACCCATTGAACTAAAACTAACATGAAGCAAAAATTATAACAACTCTTACTCTGCTTAATATTAAGCTGAAATAAAGAAACAGTATATAAGAAATAAGCAGTCAAGCCTAAATTAAGTTAAACTAAATAAAATCAGAACAGTTTCTAGAGACCTTTTGTTTTCTAAAGAGCCATGTGCATTGGAATCACAATCTATGCTCCAAGGCCCAGCAATCTTAATCAGACTTGTTGAATTCAAAAGAATAGATGCCTCTGCTTAAACTGTTTTGGGGCTTCGCCCACTAATCTACCAGGTAAAGGATTTAAATGGACTTAAAAGAACAGAAACTCTACTGTCACTAGTTTAGAAGCAGAAGGGAAGATATTGCATTCAAATCCTGTAAAGTTAAAATTAAACCTCAAAGTAAATAATTTATTCTTGGTTCATTAGAAGCAGAAAGAAAATTATTGTATAACTCAGTTTTGAATTTATTAACAAATGAAAGAGAAGCCTGATGCACTTTTAAGATCAGTAAACTTAACCAGGACCAGATAACAGCAGAAAAGAAGAGAGCATTGGTTCGAGTCTGACTGGCTGCTGTTTCAACTCTTGTAGAACCAGCTCTATTCTTTGCAATTCAGAAAATCTTCAGAAATTCTGACCTCTAAGTAGAAAATTTCATGTCTGGAATAAACCCCAACTCCAGAATTCCAAGCCGGAAAGTTGGGGTAACACCACCATGCTAGACTTCTGCATTTAGGATGGTTTCTTCTTGTCTTAATAGTCCTGTTCTATGTATATAACATCAAGTCAGTTGTGCAGTTACTACTATATGATTAAAATTTTCAATACTGTCTATATGCGGAACATAAAGCAGAGAACTGTGTTTTTGTCATTGTTATTCTGTAAAAGGGACCATATACAAACAATGAAGAATTTGATACTCCACAATTGAGAAACAGTAAAACCATTAACTCTGAATCACATAACTTTGAGTTCACAGTTCCAGGTTCAATTAAATGCAGCATTAATCTGTGTTATGTTACGTAATTACATCACTCATTTCTCTACTGGACTGATTGTTGGGTTTTGGCAGCATTAGCTTCAGATAGGTGTTTCCTGCTGGCAGGGCTAGACAGGGACCAGATAATGGACCTGGCATTTTTGGTCATGGTAGCCCAACCTGATACGTTTTGCACAGACCCGCATCATACTATGTGCTATATGTTGTTTCAAAAATGTAAATAAATAAAATAACAAAAAAAGGGGAAAAAAACACTGTTTGGTAAAACAGCTCCTTAAAAAAATTTGAATTCCTTTTAAAAAATTCTGCAATCCAATAGACAAAAAATTAAAGCTGTACGGTAATTAGTACAGAAAGATAGGAAAAAAAAACATGCAGAGTAAAAGGTGTATAATGTTATCAATCTTTTTAAACTAAACTTTCTGAAATCAGTATCAACATCAAGGCAATGCATATTTATTACTGTATTTTCACTTGATCTTTGAGTAGCTCAGCAGAAATAATCATTAAAACAAAAAAAACTTTTGTTCAAACAAGGAGTCTCTAAGATAATTATAGGTATATCCCTTTGTTATTCACCGTTTTTACCAGATATAACAAAGAAATGTTAACATCAAATTTCTATTTCTAATTACCTGGTTTGTTATAAATTTTTTTTTTCTTAATCGATTTCCAATTAGGGTTTTGTGGGATAGTATTCATTACTTGGTGTCTTGTCTGCTATAATACATTTGCCAGGTGTTGCAATCTCTAAAATAGAGGAAAATATTCATTAGGTAGTATAACTGTGGAAGTAACATAAATTCCGTGGTACTATAATCAATATTCACAATTTTTCATTCCTACAGGATCTGACAATATTATTTTTTTGATGACAGAAATGTAATTCATGTGGTAAATATATTAATTTGCTCAGTGAATCTTATGCCAGGATGAGTTAAGCTTTTTGCCAAGAAGAGATACAGATTATTTCAAAAAATAAGTTTTTTACAAAAGGATTTTTTTTAAATGCAACTTTTTATAAAAGTTATTCTTTTTTTTTTATGTGCATTTATCATGTATTTTTCAATGACAGGAGACAACACCAAAGGAAGTGATGACCTGAAGAAATGTATTCTTGAAGAGCTGAGTCGACATAAAAATGACCAAAAACTCTCTGAAATTGGGATATTTGATGATAAAAAGAAATGGAGCCAGGTCAAATACAGTAAATTGTTTTCTGAAAAGAAAACTAGAACAGTGCTCATGAAAGGAGTCCCAGGTATTGGCAAAACATTCCAGACAAGAATGTTCATGATTGATTGGGCTGAAAGAAAATCCAACAAGGACATAAAGGCTTTAGTGTCTCTTCCTTTCACTGAGCTGAATGCAAAGAAGGATGAAGAAAATAGCATGAAATCTTTGCTCAAAGATTTTTTCAAGAAAAAAAAAGCAGACATTTCTATCAGTAACAACAGTAAAATATGTTTTATTTTTGACGGGCTGGAAGAATGCAAACTTTCTCTTGACTTTGAAAACATTAAGGAAGTTAAAGACTTGAAGGAACCTGCATCAATAGATGTGCTGCTAACAAATCTGATTAAAGGGAACTTGCTTCCTAAAGCTCATATTTCGATAATTTCTCAACCAAAAGGAGTTGACAAGATTCCTTCCAAATATGTCCAAAAAACTGTTCAATGTCGAGGTAAGAATACTATCTGAAAAATACTTCTTAATTTACAAAGTAGGAATATTTATTGTCTGTATTAAAGAGTTGTATGCACTGTATGTATTTAAATCTTCACATTATTACCATCATCTGTCTTAGAAACCAACGAGCAACGGAAAGAGTTACAGTCAAAGATGAAAAAAAGATTTCTCAAGGAAATATCTTTTGATAAAGAGGAAAATCATCCTAACCAGAAAACAACAGAGCATATCATCAGAGAAAAAAGTGGCTCTAAAGAAGAGGAAAGTAAACAGAAAACACCAGTAAAATTGGAAGCAGCTTCAGAGATCTTCAAAGAAGAAAAAGGGAATAAAATAAGAACGGTGCTGACTATTGGAGAAGCTGGAATAGGGAAATCTTTTCATATGCAAAAATTTACAAAAGAGTGGGCTGAAAATAATAACAAGACCTGGCGGATTTTCTCTTTAAAAACACAGTCCCTCTCTTCTACAGAGAAAAAAGTAGAAATTTTATTTCCTCTTAACTTCTCAAAGCTAAACTTTGTAAAAGAGAAAAAAATCAGTTTGCTTGAACTTCTCAACCATTTCTTTGAGGAAACCAAGAATATCATTATCTCAGACTATTCTCAGTTAGGAATTGTATTTCTTTTAGATGGACTTGATGCATATCAACACTCTTTAGACTTTAATAACAGTGAAATCTTGAATGATGTCAGAGAACCAACATCAGTGGACGTCCTACTTGTAAACCTCATCAAAGGAAATCTGCTTCCAGAAGCCAAAGTGTGGATCACCTCCAGGCCCGCTGCTGCTGACAAAATACCAGATGATGTTGTTGACAGGATAACAGAAATACGAGGTAAAAGCTGCAGATGCATTGCCTTCCAGATTCTTTAATTTAAACTGTTATCAACAAGCTACCCTAAGATATAGTTAAAACTAAATCAAAGTGTGATGCCTTTTATAAAATATACTGTCTTTTATCCTTTCAAAATGACTTTGAAGAGTAAATTCGCCTAGAGTGAGATATGTAAATTACACTAACATAAAAGTAAAGAAGTTAGATGCAATGCTTCGATTTAAGGATGTAAAAACCACTCAGAAAAAAAAATCTTTACTTTAGTGAAAAAACTGAGTTTATAATCAATAATATCTGGAATACAAGGTTCTAATATTTATGCACCACTGTCTACCCATTGAACTTAAACTTACATGAAGCAAAAAATTGTAACAATTTTTATTCTGCCTAATATTAGCTAAAATAAAGAAACAGTATATAAGAAATAAACAGTCGAACCTAAATTAAATTAAACTAATTAAAATCCGAACCGTTACTAGAGTCCTTTTGTGTTCTAAAGAGCCATGTGCATTGGCATCACAATCTATGCTCCAAGGTCCAGCAATCTAATTCAGACCTGTTGGATTCAAAAGAATAGATTATTCTGATTAAACTCTATTAAACTGTTTTGGGGCTTAGTCCACTAATCTACCAGGTAAAAGATTTAGGTGGACTTAAATGAAGAGAAACTCTAATGTCACTAGTTTAGAAGCAGGAGGGAAGGCATTGCATTCAAATCTTTTAAAGTTAAAATTAAACCTAAAAGTTAATCATTTATTCTTGGTTCATTAGAAGCAGAAAGAAAATTATTGTATAGCCCAGTTTTGAATTTATTAGCAAAGGAAAGAGAAGCCTGATGCACTTTTAAGATCATTAAGCTAACCAGGACCAGATACCTGTAACTGCAGAAAAGGAGAGAGCATTGCTTCAAGTCTGACTGGCTGCTGTTTCAACTCTTGTAGAACCAGCTCTATCCTTTGCTATTCAGAAAATCTTTAGAATTTCTGACCTCTAAGTAGAAAATTTCATGTCTGGAATAAACCCCAACTCCAGAATTCCAAGCTGGAAAGTTGGGGTAACACCACCATGCTAGACTTCTGCATTTAGGATGGTTGCTTCTTGTCTTAATAGTCTTATTCTAAGTATATAACATCAAGTCATTTGTGTAGTTACTACTATTTGATTACAATTTTCAATACTGTCTATATGCGGAACATAAAGCAGAGACCTGTGTTTTTGTCATTGTTATTCAGCTAAAGGGACCATATACAAACAATGAAGAATTTGAGAGCCAATAAGTGAGAAACAGTAAAATCATCAACTCTGAATCTCGTAACTTTGAGTTCACAGTTCCAGGTTCAATTAAATGCAGCATTAATCTGTGTTATGTAACGTAATTACACCACTCATTTCTCTACTGGACTAATTGTTGGGTTTTGGCAACAAGATAGGTGTTTCCTGCTGGCAGGGCTAGACAGGGACCAGATAATTGACCTGGCATTTTTGGTCATGGTAGCCCAACCTGTTGTGTGCAGCAACTGCTTTCAGCTAGCTGGTTGGCAGCTTTTAATGTATAGATGAGGAGCAGGGAGCAGCAGTTTTAAACCAGATAAAGTAGTTACTGGTGGTAAGAACGGGTTACAGCTGCCCTGTATTATGGTGGGTTTGTTAATCTGTTCATTCGATTTGAATTGGGCTGATCATTGTGATAAATGCTTGGTTTGTGCCCAAGTTAATGAAAAAAAGGTCTTTAATGTGTTTGTTTTACTAAAGATGAGAACTGGAAATGTAACATAAACCAAGCTAATCATCAAAAAGTAAGACATACCATTGGCTGAAGCTGTATATATATATATATATATATATATATATATATATATATATATATATATATATATATATATATATATATATATATATATTTCTATCTCTATTTCTATCTTATATATATATGGCTGTTATGTGTATATATATATATATATATATATATATATATATATATATATATATATATATATATATATATATATATATATATATATATATATATATATATATATATATACATAACAGCCAGGATGAGTGTTTTAGCAGTGTCAGTCTTGCTTATGTATAGCTGTTATGGAACCACTTACTGTGCCGTAGCTGTTCATCTAACGTCATCTGTGTATTCTTTTTATTTACATTTTCAGAGAAGCCAGAGGTTATAAGTCGAAGAAAACTCAAGTCTCAACTGAAAAAACAGTTTACTTGTGTCTCTGAAGGGATTGATAGGCAGAGGACCTCAGCCCTTCTCAATGAGGTCTTCACTGATCTCTACATCATAGAAGGGGAGAGTGACGCAAATGAAGCCATGCAGGTTCAGGATTCAAAGTTCAAAACAATGAAGGAAGAGACAACCATCAAGTACTGTGACATTTTCAAGCCAGCAGTTGGTATTTCAAACATTAAAACTGTGCTGACCATTGGAGTGGCAGGTATAGGAAAAACATTTGCTTCAATGAAGTACATACTTGACTGGGCAGAGGGAAATGGAGCGGAAAACATTTCTTTTATTTTTCCACTTCCTTTCAGAGAGCTAAATCTGAGAAAAGATAAAGAACACAGTTTAGAAGAGTTGATTCATCAGTTCTTCCCTGCCATGAAGACTTCTGAAATAACTGACTATAATAAGTACAATATTCTGATTGTTCTTGATGGTTTTGATGAATGTCGCCTGGATCTTGATTTTAGTGAAACTACTGACTGCACTGATGTCATAGCACAAACCTCAGTGAATGTTCTTCTGTCAAATTTAATCTTGGGAAAACTGCTCCCTAAGGCTCAGGTCTGGATCACCTCACGACCTGCAGCAGCCAACAACATTCCCCCAGAAAAGGTTGATCGAATGACTGAAGTGAGAGGATTCAATGATGAGCAGAAGGAAAAGTATTTCCTGAAGAGATTCATTGATGAGGAGATTGCTAAAAAAGTCCTATCACATGTGAAAAAGTCAAGAAGTCTTTACATAATGTGTCACATCCCTGTTTTCTGTTGGATCACTTCAAAGGTTCTGGAGGACTTTGTCATTAGAAATCAAGAGGAAGGACTGCCTAAAACCTTGACAGACATGTACACACATTTCCTTTTGCTCCAGCACAGACAGACAAAAGTAAAATATGATAAAGATCAGACAAACTCTGAAACCTCTGAAATGGAGACATGCTGTGATAAAAGTAATGATGAAACAATCCTATCTGTGGGAAAACTTGCTTTGAAGGGGCTAGAAGAGAAAACTGTTCTCTTCACTGAAGAAGACTTGACTAATTGTAGCATTGATATAACAAAAGCTGCAGTTTTCTCTGGGTTGTTCACTCAGGTCAAGCGAGAAGAACATGGGTTGTACCAGCAAAAGTTGTTCTGCTTTGTCCATCTAAGCATTCAGGAGTACCTGGCAGCTCTCCATTGCTTCTACTCATTTAGCTGCAAAGGGAAAAAGGTTTTTGTCGAACCCATCTCAACTGCATCAGACATAACGGCCGCAGCGTTCTATAAGAAAGCAGTGGACAAGGCTTTTGAAAATAAAAACGCTGACTGGGACATGTTCATCCGCTTCCTACTGGGTCTCTCTCTGGAAACCAATCAGTGTCTTCTTAAAGGGCTCCTGAATATAACCAAAAATAATGAAGAGACGAATAAAGAGACTGCTGAGTACATCAAAGAGAAGATCAGAGATAACACCAGTGATCCTGATAAAAACCTTAATCTTTTCTACTGTCTTAATGAGCTAAATGACCTCACCCTTGTTCAAGAAATCAAAAATTATCTTCATTCAGAGAATAAACCTTTTGAAAATTTCACTGCCTCTCAGTGGTCAGCTTTGACCTATGTGCTGCTGACA